GTGAAAACGGGCCCAGGGAACAATGGAAATGCATGAGACCATCTTACCTAGTAATTTGGAGAGGTCTAATAGAGTTACCCTTTTTGACCGCCTAATCTGTTTGACAGATTTCTGGATACTGAGGAACCTCTCTGAAGAGAGAAAGACCTTTTCTGTGATCGAATCAATTACAGCCCCCAAGTGAGTAATTCGAGTGGATGGAGCCAGCTGGCTTTTTTGCCAGTTTATAAGGAACCCGTGTGCCTGAAGAGCAGAGATAGTAGCCCTGGTGTCTCTCTCTGCCTGGCGTCTGGAGGGGGATAGGATGAGGATATCATCCAGGTAACAGTGGAGGCGTACGGAAAGGTTCCTGAGGTGAGCCGCTAGCACAGTGAGAACCTTGGTAAAGGTCCTCGGGGCTGATGCCAAACCAAATGGGAGGGCTACATATTGGAAGTGGTGGTTGTTGTAACAAAACCTGAGGAATTTGTGGTGGGAGGGCCGGATTAGGATATGTAGGTATGCTTCCGAAAGGTCTATAGAGGATAGCCAGTCCCCCTGTCTGGTACCCAGGAGGATAGACTGCAAGGTGTGCATTTTGAACTTGCGATGGATTAAGTGACGATTAAGACTTTTTAGGTCCAAGATCGCTCTCCATCCACCAGAATGCTTGGGTACCACGAAGAGGTGGGAGTAAAATCCCCATCCTCGTTGAGTGGGTGGGACGGGTTGGCCTGAATGTCGAGGAGATGTTGAATGGCGGAATCCATCAATTTGCGTTTGGTGGGGTCCCTTGAGGGGGGGGAATGTCCTGAAAAAGTCAGAGGGGGAGGAGTGGAACTCAAGGGCGAGACCGAACCTGATAGTGTCTCTAACCCAGGCATCGGAGGTAGAGGAATCCCATTGGTCAGCGAAATGTCTGAGACGTCCGCCAATGGGGAGTGGGAAATGGGGTCTAACTGGGATGACGGAAGGGTCTTCCTCCTGATCCCCTGAAGGGTCTCTTGTAGCTGCCGCCCCTTCTACTCCTGTCGCCCGAATCAGCTCGGTCCTGGGGTTGGGATGGTCGGAAAGAGGGGGGTCTTGGGTACCTAGGCGGGAAGGGAAGTTGAAAGAAGGGTCAGAATGAACCTCTCCGAAAGGGCTGAGGGACTCTTGACTCTGACCTCTGAAAAAGGGAGAAATTTTTTCTTGCTGCGGCCCTCGACTAGCAGGGGTTCCAGAGCTGGGTCGAATAATTTGTCTCCCTTAATGGGAGCAGTGGCAAGTTTGACTTTATTTTTAACATCCCCCTGCCAGGGTTTGAGCCAGAGCAGGCAGCAGGCTGTGACGTGTGAAGTTATGGCTCTAGTGGAGAACTTCACCGACTGGTAGGTGGTGTCGGCTGAGAATTCTGCTGCAGCCACCAGCTTAGCTATATCCTGGTATGCTCTTACGTTAGAGGAGTGGACGTGTTGTCTTAATTGACGAAGCCACTGGATTGAGGACCTGGTGAAAAAGGAGGCGGCCATGGCCGATCTAATGGCCCAAGTGTCGAATTGGTGAACCCGGCGCAATGCCAGTTCCGCCTGCTTGTCCTCGAGCTTCAGAGCCTCCAAAGCCTCAGTGGGGGTGGAGGAGGATGCTAGGCCAACAATGGGCTCATCAACCTCGGGGGTATTTAGAAGACTAGAAAATTCTGAGTCGACGTTGAAGAATTTCTTATCCTGGCTGGATAGGGCGGGGGGTGCCCCTGTGAAAGCCAGCTGCTTTGCCACCAGGTCGGAAAAAATAGGCGGGGCCGGAATGACCTCGGCCTCTACCACCGGCTGCTTAAAGATGGAATCCTCTGGGCCTTCCGATGGGGGGGGCAGAGGGAGACTGGGTGAATAGGCCAGAGATGTTTTTTGCCTTAAACAGAAGGGATTTGTACAGGTGTGGCTTGAACAGCCCCATGAATGCGGGTTGATCGGGGGTAAGACCCTCATCCTCCGACATTTCCCCCTCCACTGGCTCCGCCTCAGATAGGGGCTCACTGTAATGGGATAATCCCAATTCGAGTTCCTCCTCCTCCTCCCTGAAATGACCAAAGCCCCCTTCCTTCTCCTCCTGCTCCCTTTCTGGAAGAGGGCTATCCTTCTGTGAGAGTACCTGACTGATAGGAGGATCCAATCTTGGAAGGGATCTGACAGAGAGAGACTCGTGCTCGGGGGCCCTTGGGGAGAAGCCGGGTCTGGACATTTGTTGTAGGCCCTCCGCAATTCCCTGGTGGATAGCCAGTTCCATCCATGCTCTCATTTGTGCTGGAAGCTCTACTGTAGAAGGTTCCTCTTGGCGCAGACCAGCGGCCCTAGGAGTAAAGATGGCTTCGGGTGTCCGCCTGGTCGATGATCCCGGGGCCTGATGACCCTGGGGTGAGCTGCGCCTGGATCGGGAAGAGAGGTCTGGAGGAGGAGAGGGTTGAGTAGAGGTGGAGGGAGTGGAAGGTGGGAGGGCTGGAGGCACCGAACATGACTCCCTGGATCGCCTATAGAATTCCTTCTCCAACGCCTTATGGCGTCTTAAAGCATCCCTCTGGGAGGCCTTGGAAGGTTCCTTAGCCTGCCTGCGCAAATGGTGAGACTTCGATTTAGCCTTCAGAGAAGGGCGTTTAGAAGAATTGTCATCTGCCATTTTAAGAGGTAATAAGTGTATATAATTCACTAGAGGCGGTTGGCTTGCCTAGGGTTCGGCCTACAACAAAGGCCGGGTGGCCTTTGAGCTGGCCCGCACCCCCTTTTGGAATTTTAATACATTCTATGATAACAATAATAAAGATATATTGAAATGTATACATATATACAGTATATATATGTATTATATAAATGTATTTTTTTAATATCTTATTTGATAAGTCTTATTTGATATTTTTTATATTTTTAAATATTATTATTATTATTATTATTATTTGTTTTTTATATACATATACATATACATATATATATATATATATATATATCAGAACTAAATAGGTTGAAGTAGTATAACTGTACCAAAAAGGAAAACGAGAGCTAATCAAGATTAATGATTGTCCAAATTAGCCAAATGAACGCCTGAGGCCAGGAGTAGAAGGGCCTCTAGCAGCTGTCCTCCAGACAAAAACTGGAGGGGGGGGATACTGCTGCGCTTCGCCCCGAGTGAGGCTGCGGGAAGGCCAACAATGTGCTTAACTGGTCAGGTATAGCAGTTGTAGAGGACCGTAAGCGTGACCCTAAGGGTCCGGTGAGTACTAGGTCGACCGCAGCTTTCCTTAATAACACAAAATGGTGCCCGACCACGGGGCGGTGCCCAAAATGGCGGCTGCGAGCTGAGAAAGCGTCGGGGCCTCTCGGGACGGAAAAGGGCACTCCTCCGGCTAGCTCAGCGCCCCGAGAGGGGCCGTGCAGGAGGAGTTTAGCCCTTCCTGAACGATCGGCGTTCGAGGTGGGGGGAAAACCAGCGGCGCTTCTGGGCGCAAATAACGAGCCGCTAAGGAGGCGGCGTAGAAAGAGGCAGAGAGGACGAATCAGCGGTGGGGGGGTTAGCGCGAAAGCGCTGTGATCCCGCCCACTTTAAGCCCCTAGGGGCAAGAGGAATGCTCCCCTAGGTCACTACCCTTTGCGCAGGGGCTAAAAGGAGAAGATCAAACCTGTGTTTGAGGTGAAATAGGAAGAAATCGGAAGAAATCTTGAGTCAGCCAAGGAGCCTGCACTAAGAACAGCCTGTCTCTCCGAGGCTGAGCAAAAACTGGGGAACGCTGCGTGGAGTCACGTGGAGGAGGAGGAGCGTTCCTCAATTCAAGCTCAGCCTGTCAGAGAGGAGTCTGAAGCACCTCCCACTCTGGATGCCCCGAGCGGCTCGAGGGAGAAGGAACCACATTCAGCTGCATTAAAACAGTACAACAAAAGCAATGCAAATATTTGTGAGATTTTAGCTCTTACTTTGGCATTAATTTTGGTTTAAGTTTTTAAATTAGAGGTAAAATTCTAAATTCTATCTCAATCTTGGCTATGGTATTAAATATACTATGGTATCAAATAAACAAGCAAATAAATAAATAAATCCGTTGTAGGTAAAAAAATAAATTTCTGAATGTTAAGTATGTAGTGGAATTTAGTAAGCTTCAGAAATTCTATACAAATGAAGTCTAAAATAATTTGATAACTCTTTATTTCATTTACAAGCTGTTTAAACAGAAATAGTATGAAAGGTACAAAAATGTAAGTTCCTCCTTAGTCATATTACTTGAAATTGTATTTGCTCTACATTTGCTCTGGCCCACAAAGTAAAGCAATTTGTCATTTATCTATTCATTATTGTCTGTTTATTATATACAACTGTTTTCTCCAAACAATAAATACTAAAGAGCAATATGATGGCTGTTTATTTTTAATAGTTTATTTTTTAAATTCTTTCTCTTTGATATATTAAAATGTGCATAAATGTTCTTGCTTGCCTTTTTAAGGGCCTATAAATCATAGCAAGCTGTATAATAAAACTGACTCAGTATTTCTAATCTGGGAATTGCTTGAGTCCATTAAGTCTTTTTGTTTGGTAATTCATCAAGTGTAGGGTTTTTTATTTATTTAAATATACTCTTCATCGAGAAGCCTGGCTGACACCTGGAAATCTAATTATAGTACGATGCCTTACATAAGATTTTCTCCTTACTGAATGTCAATGGAATAGTATTAGCATTAGAAGCAAATGTCTATTTAGTAGAAATACTAACAGTAAAGTAAAACATTCCAGTTTTGTTATTCATGTGTTTCAAAATATACAATAATGTTACTAGGCTTCACATTAAAACTGTGCACACTAATCATTACTATAATAGGTAAAACTATGTAGGAATATTTTGAAGTGTTGTCTCGTGGCTCAGCAGCTGTCTACCATTTAAAAAATCTTGCTAAGGCACATGTATTATTTAACTTAAATAAAAGAGAGACTCTGGATTCTTAAAACCTGCTAAAATTCTGTTGGATTCCTATTACAGCTGCAAGCTAAAAGACATTAAGAAAAACAAGCTACAGTACTTTTCTCAGCACCACAAATAATGGGTCCTGGTAAACAAGAAATCATTAGCTTCTTATCTTTCCCTTCACTGTTATATATTGCAAACACATTTGTAGACTTTAAGGATGCTTATACATATATCGTTACAGATACTTTTGGAACAACAGTTAAGAGCAGAAAATCATGTCCTGTCATTTTGAAATACTCAAAGGATGTATTTTATGTACTAAAGATACCTAAACTGTAATTCGTGAACCACTAATTGAGAGTTCAGGTAGTCTACTGTCTTAAGATGAAAATAAAATGTGCCTGATACAGTAGAGATTCTTTTGATGTTTCCACAAAAGATACTGTTCTTCTGAATCAGCATGTATCTGTACTATCTACCTAATAGCTTTTCCTAACAATACATTATTTTATGTTCTCTTTCTATGCTTCTTTTTTGCTTTCCTTGTACAATAGGGCTGCATGACTGACAAGATTCCTCTTATTCTCTCATACTTTCTTTTAAAACTCAAAGGATTAAAAACACAGTGTTTTTAAAATACTTTTGTGACCCTCTAAATTGCTTTTGAAAACTCACTCAATAGGTGCCATGACTGTTCTGCATTACAGGTCAGATTATTTTTAAATCTTTTTCATTAAAAAACATATTTATAACATCTTACATATGTTACAATGTTATTTTTATATACACTGATTTATAATATACCCTTTTAATGTTTTGAATAAATATGATCTCTTTCACTTTTGAATTAAATTCTTGGATAGACAAAAGACTTAACTTAAACCTTTATAACAATCTTCTAAAGCAGGGGTGCCAAACTGGTGATTCGCGGGCCGGATGCATCACATGTAGGCCACACCCATCCTGGTTCCACAAAGGCAAAAAATGTCACGATACATTACATGACGCAATCGAGTTTGGCTATTGTTAATTGAATCACCATGGTCATTAAGCAAAACATACGATCATGGCATGTGATGTTCTCTGTTGGCTTCCCCATTGAAATTGCCTGTCAGAAGCCCACTGGGAATATCATAAATGGTGATCACATGGCTGTGGGACACTGTCATAAATGTGTGAAAGTTCCAAGCACTTGAATCATGATCACATGGGGACACTGCAACTGTTGTGAGTAGTTCCGAATTATTTTTTTCAGCGCTTCATAACTTTGAACAGACATGAGTAAGTTGAAGACTACCGACAAACATTTTTTGTAGTAAGTACCAAATTCTCTGTGGTTTATTATAAAGACGTAAAACAAAAGTTAAAATCAAAATGAAATCCATTAACACTTAGAAGCCTGTTCAAGATGATGTGTAATTAATTTATTTACATACTATTAAAATTCTTGTGTCTATAAATTTAAAACTTTATTGATTATAGAACTAAAATATCAAACAAACACATACACAACACACAGAAAAAAAAGAAAAAGGAAAAAAGAAAATGATTAAAAACTAACCATTCTACTATCGACAGTCTATGGTTCCTTGTTTGTTATCAATATTGGTGATATATTTACAAATACACCTTATTGCGAATATATAATTACTACCTCTTTTACATTTTACATTGTTTACTAATATATTTTCTATTTTTGTCTATCCAGTCATACCAGCATACCCAGCTTCTTTAATATTCTGATGTTTCTTTTTCCTTAAGTGCTAAGGTTAATTTATCCATCTCTGCACAGGCTGTTATCTTCTGAATAACCATTTCCTCTGTTGGAATATCTGCTTGTTTCCAACACTGTGCAAAGGTTATTCTGGCTGCAGTAAGGATGTGCAGTATTATATATTTGTCTTTTTTAGAAATTTGTCTATTAAGTATCCCCAATAAGAATTCTGGTTTTAATTCAATTTGCTCTGCCGTTATTTCCTCTAACCATTTTTTTATTCTATGCCAGTATCTTTGGGCTTCAGTGCAGGACCACCACATGTGAAAGATTGTTCCCTGTTTCTTTTTACATTTCCAGCAATTCGGATTCATGTTAGGAGACATTTTCGCTATTCTCAAGGGTGAAAGATGCCATCTATAAAACATTTTATAGGCATTTTCTTTATATGTTGCTGATTTTGTAATTTTATTATTCCTTGTCCAGACCTTTTCCCATTCTAATAATGTAATGCTACGTCCTATGTTTCTGCTCCAAGCTATCATGTTGCCTTTGACTACTTCGTCTTCTAATTCCACCTCTAATAAGTAATTGTAAAATTTAGTTATATTTTTTTTATCTGGACCTAATAGGATTTTATGTAATTGTTGTGTCTTAGTGTAAATTCCAAAAATTTTCTTGTCCTGGCTATATCTATTTTGAATTTGCAAATAAGCCCACCAGTCTACTTGTAGTCCTTGTTCTTGGAGATCTTGCCATGATTTTAAAGTTCCTTGCGCATCAAGAAGGTCTTTGTATTTTATCATTTTATTAAGATCTAGATTATTTGGACATATCATTGCCTCCATCATTGAGATCCAGATTGGGATTTTTAAATAATTTTTTAAAATTTTGTTCCAATTAGCCAATAAGGAATCTCTAATTATATGTCTGTGGAAATACTTCTGCTTAATTGTTCCAGTGTCCCATAAAAATGCATGCCATCCCCTCTGTAAATCATGGCCTTCCAAAAATAAGATCCTTTTATTCGACAGATTTACCCATTCTTTCAACCAAAGTAAGGAGGCTACACTATAGTATAATTCCCAATTTGGGAGTGCCATACCTCCCCTGCTCTTCATATCTTGCATTGCCTTTAGGTTTATCCTCGGTTTTTTCCCTTGCCAAATAAATTTGGTAATTATCTTGTTAAGTTCCACGAAGTAATTTTTATGTATTTTATTTATTGTTTGGAATAAGTAAATAAATTTGGGCAGAATGTTCATTTTTATAGTGGCAATCCTCCCTAATAAGGAGATTTGCAATTTAACCCATATCTCTAAATCTTTTTTGACTTGCTGTAATAATTTATTATAATTATTTTCCATTAGAGTTTTGCATTGAGCCATCAACCAAATTCCTAAGTATTTAACTTTTTTTACTCTTTGTAATCCCATTATCCTTTCCAATTTTAGTTTTTGTTTTCCTGTTAAATTTTTAATTAATTTCATTTTTTCCCTATTAATTTTAAGTCCTGCAACTCCCCCAAATTGATCTAACTCTTTCAATTGTTCTTGACCTGTTTCAATTGGTTCCTCTATGAAAAATACCATATCATCCACAAATGACTGGAGTTTATATTCTTTTTTAATTTTTAGTTCTTTTCTTCCTGGGTTCTGTCTAATTTGTGTAAGCAATGTTTCCAAAGATAATATGAAGAGAAGGGGAGATAATGGACATCCCTGCCTGACTCCTTTCTCTATTTTTATTGAGCGTGTGTACTCTCCATTAATTATAATATTCGCCTTTTGTGAATCATAAATTGTAGTCACGATGTTTTCAAATTTAGTGCCTAAATTCATATTGTAAATTTGTTGGATTAGGAATTGCCAATTTAGATTGTCAAAGGCCTTCTGTGCATCCAAGAATACAAGGGCTATTTGTTTTTCCGGATGGGCTTCGTAATATTCCAAAACATTTAATACTATTCTTAAATTATTCCTAATTTGTCTATTAGGAAGAAATACGTTTTGATCTTTATGTATATATTCATTCAATTTTTTTAAAATCTATTTGCTATAATTGTGGTAAATATTTTATAATCAATATTTAACAGGGAAATTGGTCTATAATTTTGTATAAGTTGTAAATCTGAATCTTCTTTCGGAATCAGCGATATTAATGTCTCCTTCCATGAATCCGGCATTCTTGCTGTTAGTAGGACCTCATTATATACTTCCACCATGAGAAGTCCTATTTGTTCTCCTATTTTCTTAATAAAGTTCCCCTGGTATCCCATTGGGTCCTGGGGTTTTATTGTTCTTTTGGTTTTCTATTGCTGCTTTTAACTCGGGCCATGTAATGTCTCTAGTTAACATTTCCTTCATCTCCTCGATTATTTTATCTTTAGTAATACCCAAACAGTTTCTTATCATGTCCTCATTTACCTCCTTCTTTTTATAAAGATCTTCAAAAAATTTACATGCAATTTCTTTTTTCTGTTCTATCCCTTGTTGGGCATCCCCGTTCTCATCTCTTAATTGGTAGATCAATCTTTTTTCTTTTTCTTTTTTAAGTTTATAGGCCAACCACCTTCCTAGTTTATTTGCCTGTTCGAAAAGTATCTGTCTGGCTGTATTCAACTTTGAAACCATTCCTTCTTGTTCGATTAAATTTAATTTATGTTTAGTTATTATCATCTGTTTTTTCAATTTACAATCTTTTGGGGTGTTTTGCAGCTGAATTTCTAATTCTTTGATTCTTTGTTCTAATTTATTTTGTTGGGCATATTTTTCTTTATTTGTTTTAGCAGTGTATGATACCGTTGTGCTTCTTATTGCCTTCATTGTATCCCAAATATTCTGTTTCATAGTTGCCTCATTATTATTTTCTTTTTAAAAAGTCTAATTCCTCATCAAGTTAATTCATAAATTTTTTCTCTTTAATTAGCTGTGTATTTAGGGTCCACCTTTTCTTTGGTTTCTTCTTCTTTCTCTTTCTTCCCAAGTGATTAGCATTCTCTCTGGGATTAGCCATCTGAATATACCTTTTTGGTTTAATTGGTTCGCCAAGAATTTATAATCTCGCCTGTGCTCTCTCTCTCTTCTTGGGATTTGTTTAAGCACCCAAGGGCATTGTCCAGAGCTGCGCTGACATTGTAGAAATGCTTATACAGAGAAGATGGGCGAGGACCTGCCGAAGGGGAAGCACACTGTTCCTTGACCATGTCCAGGAACAAAGTGGGAGATAGCAAAACCTCTGCATGCACAACAGGCTTGGAGAAGAATGAGTTTCCCTGGCTAGAGGGATTTCCTCATGGCTCAGGAGCCACTTCCTCCGGTGACAGCTTGGTAGTGACCAAGGCCTTGCTGAGCAATGGCCTGAAGAGAGAAGGATTGAAGACCAATGCAGAGGTTGTCTGCTCTGGGCAAGAATACTCTTCCTCTGAAAGATTTTGGTCAAAAGTCTCACCCTCTTCACGCTCTGAACGAGAGGGGTAACTGTGTTCAGATGGTGAAGCCCTTCCCTCCTCATCAACCTCCTCCCATTCTGATAGAGAAGAATGGACCCTGAGGTCCTGGGGCCTGTGTAAATCAGGGTGATGAGGCAAGGAACTTATAGATTGAGAAGGGAGAAGGGCCTGAACCCTTTCCAGAGATTGAAGAATTTGCTTGAAGCCTTCAGCCAATCCCTGCCTAATGGCCAATGAAACATCTTGGATATCCCCTGGTCTATGCTCAAAGGTAGAGGCAGAAGGCTGAAGGCCCGCTGCTGTGGGAGTGAAGGTGGC